GAAGGTGATCAGGCTGGCAGGCAAAAGCAGTTAGGGGCAATCAGGCAGGCAGGCAGGCGAGCAGTTGGAAGCCAGCAATCCTGGATTGTGAGGGGGAAGTCCTCCTGCCCATTTAGGCCCAATCCCAGTTAGACATCCCTCTCAGGATCCCAGATTGGAGAGGGTGCAGGCTGAGCTGAGGGACACACACACACTCATGCATGAATTTCATGCACTGAGCTTCTAGTTCACAATAAAAAACTAACATTTATTGAGTATATACTATGTGTTTGGCTAATGCTAACCACTCTTCATGTGTTAATTTATTATCCAAGATGAAGAAGGTAATATTACTATTGTCCCCAATTTACAGATGAAAATTACTAAGGCTTGGAAAGCTTGATAACTTGCTCTAATTCTCACAGCTAATAAGACACTGGCTTTGAACTCAAATCACTCTGGGTTTGGAGCTCATGCTCTGTTACACACTTCCTTGGGATAAATCTGAAGGTGTTGAACATCATAACCTTGCAAGACATTAAGAATAATTGCCAAAGATTTTCAATCCTGAAAAGCTTTAAAAAATAAATAAATAAAAAGAATACTGTGGCAACAATCCAGGTGTCCATCGATGTGTGAATGGATAAACAATATGTGTATATACATACAATGAAATATAATTCAGCCTTAAAAAGAAAGGAAATTCTGACACTTTTATACAAATGGGTGAACCTTGAGGACATTATGTTAAATTAAATAAGCCAGACACAAAATATTGTGTGAGCCCATTTGTATGAGGAACACAGAGTAGTCAATTTCACAGAGACTGAAAGTAGAATGTGGTTACCAGGGTCTGGGGAAGGGTAGATTGGGGAGTTAGTGCTCAGTAGGTTTAGAGTTTGAGTTTGAGATGATGGTGATGGTGATGGTTGCACAACAATGAGAACATTCTTAATGCCACTAAATTGTACACTCAAAAAGAGTTAAAATGATACATTTTATGTTAAATGTGTTTCACCCCAATTTTTAAATGTTTTTATTTATTTTTGAGAGAGAGGAGATGAGAAAGAGAGAGAAACATCTATCAGTTGCCTCCCACATGCAGTAGGAATTGAACCCACAAACTGTGACCTTTCAGTACAAAGCACAATGCTCAACCAACTGAGTCACACCAGCCAGGGCCACATTTTTTTTTTTTTTTTCAATTGATGTCTGGTCCCAAACCAGTTATATCAGAATCTTTCCAGAATAGACCTCAGCTATCTATCCTCTATAATAAAGAGGTAATATGCAAATTGACTGTCATTCCAACACACAAGATGGCTGCCCCCATGTGGTCAAAGATGGCCACCACAAGATGGCCAGCAGGGGAGGGCAGTTGGAGGCGACCAAGCTTGCAGGGAAGAGTAGTTGTGGGGGGGACCAGGCCTGCAGGATAGGCAGTTGGAGGTGACCAGGCTGGCAAGGGAGGGCAGTAAGAGGTGACTGGGCCTACAGGGGAAGGAAGTTAGGGGCAATCAGGCCAGCAGGGGAGCAGTTAGGTGTTGATCATGCTGGCAGGGGAGTGGTTAGGGGTGATCAGGATGGCAGGCAGGTGAGCAGTTGGAAGCCAGCAGTCCTGGATATTGAGAGGGATGTCAGACTGAGACTCTAAATGGGCAGTCTGACATCCCTCAAGTGGTCCCAGATTGAAAAGGTTGCAGGCTGGGCTGAGGGGACACATACACCCCCATGCACAAATTTCATGTGCTGGGCCTCTAGTTAAGATAACAATAACAACAACTAGGTATTTCTCATGAGCACCCAGGGTTGAGAACACCAGGGTTCAGGACTTGGAAATCTGAAACTCACCATGCTGGTGGTCCATGGCGTCACTGAGACTCTGGTTATCCCATTCCCACAAAGGGCTGAAAGCAGGTCCTTTTCATTGCCGAGTCCCCTGGCCTGTTGCTGACTAAGGTGGCCTGGATCCAAGAATTAATGGAAGCTTCCGGAAGCAGAAAGCCCTGTGGCATACTGGGTGTTTCTCTGGCTTGTAATTGACTACATAATGCCTAACCCTCCCCCACTTAATAGTTCAGGAAGAGGAGTGATTATCACTCAAGTGCTGTGATTTCAGGATGAGGTCGTGAGGTTCCCACTGAAATCTACAGTTCATGGCACTGATGGAGTCCCTCTGTCTATAACTTAGATGCATGTTTCCGGTCTTTGGGCTGCCGCACAACTTTGGGGGGATTCTCACAATGGGAGTTATGATAGAGGCTTACTATAAGAGAGAGGAATGGCATTGGGCCTTTGGCTCAGCAGCAAGCATTCTCAGGGCACCCCACTTTGCCTAGAACTGGGCTAGATTCTAATATGCCCTCAAGTGAACCACATTCTGTAGGGAAACAGACATACTTGGTGTACCAGTTAATAATGCAGATTGTGTAATAAAAGAAAACACGATAATTTCAAGAGAAACATCAAAAGTGCTTTAGTCAAAGTAATGTCCATCGCTAGCTACACATTTCCCCATCTTTCAGGTAATTTGTGGATACCATCCCAATAGAACTTTTCTTGTTTTGAGGCAAACCATTCAGAGACCCAATTTTCCACTTCTTTGTACGTTTTGAAGTGCTGCTCAGAAAGTGCGTGTGTCATCCACCGGAACAAGTGGTAATCTGAAGGAGCAAGGTCTGGTGAACATAGGGGGTGGGTTAATACTTCCCAGGCAAGATCTTTTAAAATATCTTTAACTGATTTTGAAGTGTGCGATGGGGCATCATCATGAAGCAAAATTACTTTGCCGTGTCTCTTGGCACATTCTGGTCATTTCACGATTAAAGCATGGTTCAAATTGTTATCTGTTGTCGATAGCAATCAGTATTAATGGTTTCACCTGGGTTTTAGAAGTTCGTAATACACCACACCTTTTTGATCCCACCAAACCCAGCATTGTCTTCTTTCTGAAACAATTTGGTCTTGCAGTCAATGTTGATGGTTGACCTGGATCAACGCATAATTTTGTGCATTTGGGATTTTCAAAATAAATCCACTTTCATCACCAGTCATAATGTGATGCAAAAAAGACTTTCTTTCGTGCCTTTGAAGCAACATTTTACTGATGACTTTTTGGTTTTCCATTTGCCTTTCATTCAGTTGATGTGGCACCCATTTTCCTTCCTTTAATGTCTTTTCCATTGCTTGTAAACGATCGGAAATTGTTTGCTGAGCAACGTTTAATCTTTCTGCAAGTTGTTTTTTAGTATGACACACATCTTCATCCAATAATGCTTGTAATTGTTGGTCTTCAAACTTTTTCGGTTGACCTGGACATTCTTTGTCTTTCACATCAAAATCTTCACTTTTAAAGTGTTTACAAGTATCTTGAAATGGAGCATGTTCACCATAAGCTTCCTGAAGTATAATATACAATAACTTTCAGCAGCACTTTTCTTCAAAATAAAATAATGAATTAAAACTTCCTGCAAATGCTCTTTTTTTGGTATGAAATCTGACATTTTTAAAGTAAAAATATCTATGATGTTAACATCTTCAGCAAATTTGACATATGAAGTTTTGAAGCTTGCTGTCAATACAACAAAATAACATACATATCAAATCGCATATGCACTGAGTGGCAAGATTATTATGATCTCTGGATGCATAATAATCTGGCCACTCAGTGTATATCCTATATAATAAAAGGCTAATATGCAAATTGCCCCCTCGACCAGGAGTTCAACCAAGCAGGCAGGCCAGCCAACCACCCATGTCCCCTCCCTCTGGCCAGGCTGGCCAGACCTCACCCATGCACGAATTCATGCACCAGTCCTTTAAGATATATATATATCTTAAGATAGATATATATATATATATATATATATATATATATATGTATATGTATGTATGTATGTATGTATGTATGTATACTAGAGGCCTGATGCACAAAATTCGTGCACAGGGAGGGTGAGTTTCTCACCCAGGCTGTACCCTCTCCAATCTGGGACCCCTCAAGGGATGTCCGACTACACACATACACTGAGTGGCCAGATTATGATGATCTCTGAATGCATAATAATCTGGCCACTCAGTGTATATCAACATATGTGTAACTCTATCTATTGAAAAAAATCTGCATTAATGAATACACCAAGTATTCGTTCAGCCAATATTTCTTAAGCTCCTACAATGGGCAGTATTTAAAATATTAATAAGTTGACAGTGGCACAGAATCAGACAAGGTGCTCTGCTGGGCCCAGGTGTAACCCTTAAATTGCTGGATCACAGTGAGGTCAGGGGGATTCAGGGGAGAGGCCAGGGTGGTTGGGACATTGGATGGGTAGCTTCTATTTACCAGACAATTCAGAAACATTTCTATATTTTAACATCTGGGAAGGCTATATGAGTAGGTGCCAGGTGAATGACAGCTTGACTTGGGCATAGAGGTGAACAGTTCAGCCTGACATCATGGATCAACCTTCTAGCGCAGGGGCTTTTTCCATCATAGACCAAATAAATATTTTAGCCCTTTTAGGCCTTAGGTCTCTGTCCCAGCTACCCAACACTGTCACTGTAACACGAAAGCAGCCATTGACAAGAGTAAACAAATGAATGTGGCTGTGTGCCAATAAAACTTTATTTATAAAACAGCAGGATGAAGGTGGCCCATGGACCACAGTTTGCAAACCCCTGTTCGAGTGGGTGAGACAGTATACCCATTTATTCTTTCGTTATACAAATATTTATCAAGCATCTTCTCCATGACAATGATTGCAGTGGGCACTTGAACAAGATAATGGTCTCTGCCCACACAGCACTTATACTGTCATGGGAGAGGCCAAATCAGTCATGTCCATGTGCTACGGTCAGATGGAAGTAATCAGGAAACTGAGAAGGGGAAGTTAGCCAGTCTGGGAGTTCAGGGAAGGCTTCCTGGGGAAGGTGGTTACATGTTGCCTGCTCAGACCAGCCTGAGAAGCACATGTCTTTCCTTGTCGGTTGTCTGTCATCACTTGCTCTTCCCTTGTGTCCCCCAGTCTCTGAACAGCTACAACAATGGAGACGTGGAAGGCTCCAGGCGGCTTGGGAGGAATGCCAAGTGGGTGGCCATCGCCTCCATCATTATCGGCCTTCTCATCATCGGTATTTCTTGTGCGGTTCACTTCGCATGGAAGTAAGTAGGCTCTTTGGAATCCCTCCCAGCGTAGAATAATGCCCATCGGGATCCGTTAGGCTGGGTTAGGTGATTCTCTGGTAACAGACAATCGCAAACAAAAGTATTTTCGTTTTTTCTTCGCTGTGGTTCCATGGGAGGTCTGGGAAGGGTCTCTCCTCCACAGGATCATTCGAGCCCCGTGCTATCCAAAGCTCCAGCACATCATAGCTGCTCTATTTAGAACAGAGGAAAACAAACGTTTCCACTAGAAGGCCAGATAGTAAATGTTTCAGGCCTTGAAGGCATTATGGCCTCTATCACCATCTCAGTCCCAACTACTGAACTCTCGCCATTTTAGCACAAAAGCAGCCATCTACAATATGATATGAATGGGCACGGCTGTGCTCAATAAAACTTTATTTACAAAACAGGTTGTTGGCCTGTGGACCATAGTTTTCCAACCTCTGATCTAAAATATGAGGCCTCCTCAGGGGAGAGAAGACCAGAGAATCCCACCTGGGTTTCCACTGCCTCAGCCCTGGAGTGGCGACTGTCACTTAGACTCACAGCTGGCTAAACCAAAGCACCCCGTCCCACCTAACCGTAAAAAAGCAGGACTGCGGGAGAGTAAATGGGATATCTGGGATTATTATTTGTTCTGCCTGACCCTAGGATCTACTCAGTGTGTCCCAACATGGTATTGCACTAAACTAGCCAAAATGTTCTTAAAGGGCAGAAGGTTCACCACATGCTTTTGTTACTGCCAGTGAGCTCTCACCTCGTAAGGAGATGGATGCTGTTGGTGTTGGATGCTTTCTGGATTTGGGAAAATTTATTCAGATTTCTCTGATCAGCTGAGTTGGGCTCCATCTGCTAGAATCAATGACCTTTTCCATCAGAGGGTAAGGTCATGTGACGGACAACCAAGACTCAGAAATGAGATGCCCAATCCAGCTCTGTCTCCCTGTAAAACTCCTGGAAAGGCAGATAAGAACTCTGGAAAATTCTTTAACTTCAAGGCCAGAGCAGCACAGTTATTCCCATGCCATTTACCAGGAGCTGAGTAGGTCGGCCTCTTTGGCTGAATTTCAGGAAGGGGTCAACGGATGAGTGAGGAAGGAAGAGGACACCCTTGAGCCTGCCAGATCAGCCAGCCCACCCTTGGCAGCCAATAGCCTAGTAAACTTCCTATGGTACAAGCCAGACCGAGGAGCAATCAGGGCATCTGCATGGAGGAGGAGATGTCAAAACAGGAAGTGTCACAAAGGAAAGAATGGAGGGCTTTGGGCAAAGAGGGAACAGACATGAGGCAAATGGCTGAAAGTTTCATAGGAAGTTAGGAGCAGAGGGGGGACTTGCAACCAGGAAATCTGGTGCCATAGAATGTGGGGTTACTAGGACAGCCATCTGCTTAATGTCCCTAAACCAGTTTCTTCCTCTGTGTAATGCGAATGAAGGTAGTACCCATTTAACAGCTATTGTGAAGGTGAACTAGAGGATCCACAAAATGTGTATAACAAGGTGCTGTTCCTTAGTTGGTGCACAAAAAATACAAACCATTTATTAATCCTGACACTACTATTGTTACAATGACTGAGAGCCTCTGAGAATTTAAGACGCCACTAAATCGAGTTCAAGGCTTTGAACTCATGAGCAAACTCAAAGGATGGTGTGTGTTCTGAGAGAACAAGGCCAAGTCCTGGCTTAGCTCCTAGAGACTTTGGAAAATACATACTGCCCAGACCCGTGCCTGCGCTGAGTGGGTTGTCATAGTGGCTGACACTCACACACCAGGGACTGCTCCAAGCCTTTAGGTGAATTAATCCTCAGTGACTCTTCAGAGAAACCCTATGAGGGTTTTTATTATTATCCCTGTTTCATGGGAGAAGAAATTGAGGCTCAGAGAAGGGAAGAAATCAAAGATTTGCCTGATGTCTCACAGCTAGTGATTGGTAACGACAGGGTTTAAACCTGGAATATCTGGCTCTGAAAACTGTGTTCTTAGCCACAACACCACACAGCCTCTAAGCCAACATGTGCCTTCTAGTACACTCAGTAACAAAGGCCAATGGACTGCGCGCGCCCTGCAGCTACCTCCGGGATTGTTTTACATGAGGCTGGTAGGTGAGGCTTCCACCTACGAAACAACACGTGATGGGTCAGAGCCCGGGAAAGAAAATCAAAAGATGTTAGGAGTTAGGCAAGGAACATACATGAATGAAGCAGCCTGGCTGTGGGACAATAGGGAGTGGTGGGGACTGGGGTGAATTAGAGAGCTCCATTTGAAGGGAGCAACCACCACTCTGCTCCAGCTAATTGTTACCACTTAGATGCAGACTCCGTGGGGCCCATTTTCCCAAAGACATTGGAAAGCTGGGTTTTCGTTTCAAATCTCCTGGCTTTTAAATGCTGACGGTCAATTCACATTGCTTAAAAACATTGTGAGGGTCAAAAAAAAGACAAACCAAAAACATACAACAACCACAGCAGCAACCTGGAGATTATCTACTTTACAGTCTCTGGTGGACAATTTGCATGTCAAATTTTAGTTTGCCCTTTAGACCCCATCCAAGAAGTTTTATAAGGGGCCTGGAAGTCTTCCTATAGGGGGACTTTGTCCATCTTTAACATAAATATTTCTACCTGCAGACAAGGCAGTGATGTGTATACGCTTGTGACTGAGGCTTTGTTAATAGTTCTACACTGTGAGCGTGAGTCACTTCTCTGCTCCTGCCTCCTAAGAGGCAGTGTTCACAGTGGTGAGAACATGGACTTCTGCACTGTTTTACCAGGATTCAAATCCTAGCTCTGCCACACAGGCCACCCTGGCAAGTTATTGAACTTTCTGTGCCTCCATTTCCCTGTCTACAGAGTGAGGATAGAATCACTTCCCTGTCTGTAAGGTCAGGTTCCTTTTCAATAGACACCTTTCCCTCCATGTTAACCAAGAACTCAAAAATGTCTTCCAGAATTAGAACCACGGAGCAACTCAAACTGAAAGGCTCATGCGTGCATGTGTGTGTGTGTGAGCGCGTGTGTGCGTGTAAGATACTAGGGAATGGAATTGATTCTTTTTTTTTTAATATATTTTATTGATTTTTTTTTGCCCCCCTCCCTCCCTCCCACTCATCCCCTCCCTCCCCAGAGTTTTGTGTCCATTGGTTGTACTTATATGCATGTATAAAAGTCCTTCGGTTGATCTATTATCTCCCCCAGATCTTCCTCCCCTCCCTGCTGTAATTTGACAGTCTACTTGTTGATATATTGTCTCTATATCTATCTTTTGGTTCATCAGTTTATAATGCTCTTTATTATCCACAAATGAGTGAGGTCATGTGGTGTTTCTCTTTCATTGATTGGCTTATTTCACTCAGCATGATGTTCTCCAATTCCATCCAGGTTGCTGCAAATGATGAGAATTCCTTCTTTTTTATGGCAGCATAGTATTCCATTGTGTAGATGTACCATAGTTTTTGGATCCAATCATCTACTGACAGACACTTAGGCTGTTTCCAAATTCTGGCTATTGTAGATTGTGCTGCTATGAACATAGGGGTGCATATATCCTTTCTGATTGGTGTTTCTATGGAATTGATTCTATCTTCTGTTAAGTCCAACGACAAAGCTGATTTCTCATCCTTTGAAATAAAATCTCCCAGCCATAGGGAGGACTGAATGGCAATTCGGAAAATTACAGCCCACAGGTTCCCAAACTCTGGGCTGCCTCCGAGTTTCCTGAGGAGGCTCAGGGGGAGTTGGCATCCAAGCCCCACGCCGATGGATTCCATTCAACTCGCAATATCAGAAGTAAGGCCCGGGGGTCTGCATTCTCCAGCCCCCCACAGCCACCCAGGAACCCAGATGCAGGTGGCCAGAACAGTTTTTGCTAAAACCTGGCACTCGTCCTCCCTCCCAAAGGCAAAAGGAAGACAGCGCTAACCACTGCCAGTCATTAACAGAGCGGTCAGTTTTCATTACATCAGCAAACTCACCCTCCTAATGTGGTGTATCTAACTCCGGGAGTCAGGTTACTGCCTGGGAGATGTGCCCGAGGGAGGCTCTTTTGTGAGGATCTGAAAAGGCAGCCGGGACTTCCAGGGAGGGGCTGGGAAAACCCCACATTAAGGCTGTCCAGCCCAGAGACAAGACAAAGAGCCTTGAATATATGAGTTTTCCAAGTTTCCTTTATAAACTGTCTGAAGTAGGCTATTGCCTTTTTTTTTAAATGGTTCAGTCCTGCCTTTTAAAAAATTATTCTGTACCCATTATCAATAAAACTGTAACTAATCTCAAAAGTCCCTGCCTTTTTAAAAAAAATTGTTTTATCTTTATCAAGAAAACTGTAACCAATCTTTTCTCCCCTAAATGATCAAAACCCCGGGTAGTTTATTTCCTTGGAATAGACTCAGGTCAGCATAGCCTTTACCCAAACTCATAAAAAGGTCTCCCCATCCTGATTTTACAGGGTACCTCTGTAAGCCACGTGGTGTTTGTGGAGCCAGGTATGACAGTTTTGTGGCATCAGATCCATCAGAGCTGGGAATCACTGAACTGAAATATTCCACTGTTTTTGACAGAGCGCTGTGCTGACAAAAGACGGCCAGGAACGCCGCACAGCGCATTAAAAATGCTTGTTTGTCTTTCATACAAATCAGACCTTCATGTTGCAGGTTTTCCAAATGGAATCAGAAACTTGCAATCTCTCAAAGTCATACAATCATTGCTCTCAGGCTGCTAGGGAGAGTGGAAAGCACAGAGGTGAAGCATTTAAATACTGCAGACAGCTATTTATCAATCCTAATCGTTCGAGTCCCTGGCCACAGTCACATGTCCGCAGGCTTTGACTTTCAGCTGATGCCTTGAGGATTAAAGCAAGGTTGGGTGACTCCAATCATGTTTCTCAAAGCCTCAGAGCCACCTACGACAGATTCAGCTGGACTGCTTGGGAAAATGCAGATTGCTGGGCCCCGATCAAGAACCTGGGCCGCCCTGAAATATTCATTATCATAAGCACATCATCCCCCAAATATGGTTCTAAATATTCTAAAAGCCCCATTTTTCTAGGGTTTTACCTGTGTGGACATATGCCACAAAACAGGATATTTTATTTTATTTTTAACATATCTTTATTGATTTCAGAAAGGAAGGGAGGAGAGATAGAAACATCAATGATGAGAAAGAAGCATTGATTGGCTGCCTCCTGCACTCCCCTCTGTAGGTTGAGCCCAAAGGGTTATGTGCCCTGGATCAGGAATCTAACCATGACCTCCTGGTTCATAGGTCAACACTTAACCCCTGAGCAGTGCTGGCCTGGCGAAAACAGAAGTTTTTAATATGTTTTTATTGATTTTTTTTCTTTTTTTTTTTTTTTTTTTTTTTTAGAGAGAGAGAGAGGAAGGGAGAAGGATATAGAGATAGAAACATCATCAATCAGCTGCCTCTTACATTCCTCCTACCGAGAACTGAGCCTGCAACCCGGCATGTGCCCTGACCGGGAATTGAACCAGTGACCTCTTGGTTCATGGGTCGATGCTCAACCACTGAGCCACACCAGCCAGGCAAAACAGGACATTTTTACATTCCTAAGATAGCTGGTAGAAGCTTCCTATCCTCTCTAGAAAGTGTACCCATTTCCCAAGTTTCCTCTTCTCTCCCTCCTTGTGGTCAGGCTCATGGTCACATATCTGGTTTTCAGTGGAACTTCCTTAGCGGCAAAGCCCGTTGACCATGACAAAGCTTGTGTGTGAGGGAGACAGGTGTTGTCTACCACAAGGATGGCAAATAACAAGTGGTGGAGCTTCATCTTACGCAGGGGCTAGGTTATAACGTCAGGGCACAAGGTGAGCTTTTATAATCAGAGTTGATCTTGGAAGCATCCAGAGGGGGGCACCCTGTCAGAGTCTCACACACCATGTCCTGCTCAGTCTGTCAGAGCCAGTGTTTCCTCCAGGGCTGGAACAGATGCTGTTCCTTGGGTTGAGCATCACTGGGACCACTGTCCGAGCTCACACTGAAGGCTCAGGAGTCCACGTTCCTGAGCACTGAGCCAGGGGTGGTCAGAGTCTCCAGCTCCATTTAAGCCGTGACTGCTGTCTTCCGGAGCAATATGAACCGTTGGTATGCCATAAGTCAAACCCATATAATGCAGTTCCACTGAACTTACACCTCCGGTGGTCTTGTAGGTGTCTCGAGAGCCAGGCACGCCATACTGTGTCAGAAATGCTTGTCATTCTTAGAAAGAAGAGCCTTCGTGAGTCCAGGTTTCCCTTAAGGAAGAACTTGACTTCTAAACAAAAATACCTGCCTCCCATCGGCAGGCACAGAATTAGCAGACAGTAACCATTCTGCACTGGTAACGCTCTGTCTTATGAACAGTCTGGAATGAGTCCTTTCCTAATTGCATCAGGATTGGAAGTAAGCGTATATATCAAAGTGCACAAGAAATTGGCCTTTTTGAAAAAACACAAAAGCAAATCCATCTTTTTCCCTATGCTACCGGCTGGAGGAAGGCTTTCTGCGAGTTGTTTGGCACAGATATGTCTTCAGAGAACTGCTGTGATTTATGATGAAAAAGAAGGTCCGAAAGGCCTCTCTTTGTCGGTTTAGATAAATTGAGGTAAAGACAAATCATCACTAACAATGGAAAGATTTTTGCTTTGAAAAGGATGTAAACGGGAGGATGTGGACAAAGAAATCAGAATAAACATGAAAAAGATGTTCACCCTCACTGGTAACCAGGGAAACACAAGCTAAAGCAACAATAGAATACTCTATTTCCTTTGTCCGCCAGATTGAAGCAATTAAAAAGACAGATAATATCAAGGTTGGTGAGTGTGAAGAACTGGATACTCCACTGTAGGTGGAAGAGTGAGCCTGGACGGCTTTGGGGGTCCATTTGGGTGTGTCTATTAAACTTTAAAACCCACGTGCTCTCCCACCCTGCAATTCTACTTCTCAGTATCCACCCGAGAGACAGGTGCACAAAAAGGCTTGTTCTTTTCCCTTAGGACCTTCTGGGGAGCTTTAAAAAATACCAACGCTCCGAGCCCTCCCTGGACCAGTTAGCTTAGAATCTCCAGTGACAGGGCCGGACACTGGTAAATGTCAGGGCACTCGGGATTATTCTAATGTGCAGCCAGGGTGAGAACCAACGATGTTCATTGCAGTGCTGTTTGAAATAGTGGAAACCTTGAAGCAACCTCATGTCCACCAGTGGGAAATGGTTACAGAGGCAGTGGGTTTATCTGTAGGATAGAATACACCCTACAATTCAGACATGGAAATCTCCCTTGCTTGGGTTTATACGGCCCCACATGCTCTCCTTCCAAGCACTCTCCTCTCGCTCCTCCACGTCAGCAACATCGAATTCCTGTCTTGGTGGAGCAACACAAATATGCTCCTGCCACAGGGCCTTTGCACTTGCCGATCCCTCTGCCTAGGATTTCCTTCCTCCTGAAGTCCACATGGCTTTTTCTTTCAGATACTTGCTCATATGTTACCTTGGCAGAGAGGGTAGCCCTGACCAACTTTGCCAAAACAGTGCCCATAGCCCACCCTTCTTCTTTCTGTCCCTTTGTCCAGCTTTACCTTTCTTCCTAGTATCACCCCCTCAGAAATTATATGTACACATTTACTTATATATTTATATGTTTACTATACTATTTCAGATGTATTTATGTACCAACATATAGTCACTAGAGGCCTGGTGCATAGATTCATGCACCTGTGGGGCCCTTCAGCCTGGCCTGCACCAGAATCAGCAGTCCAACATCCCCATGGGGTGTAGCAGTGTGAAAGCAGCAGCCAGCCAGGGAGGAACCAGAGTCCAGGCTGGGCAACACTCCGGTTTATCCTGGCTTACCACAGCCTCCCCTCAGGAGCGCTGCCACAGAGATGGAAGAGGCCGGAGCAGCCACAGCTGCGCTCACCAGCCATGAGCCTGAAGTCTGGCGCCCGATGGTCAGCTGAGCAGCACTTTCACTGTGAAAGCACACTGACCACCAGGGGGCAGCCCCAGCATTGAGCATCTGCCCCCTGGTGGTCAGTGCACATCATAGCAACCGGTTGACCGGTCGTTAGGTCTTTTGGTTGCTTAGGCTTATATAGAGAGAGAGATGTGCTTTTATGGTGTTTCCTACTGCTGAAATGAAAACCCCAGGAACATTCTCATTCCCGCCATTGCCTGTAATAATAGAACATAACACTTCTGGGAGCTTACTTTGAAGGTAGACTGTTGGGGTTTAAATCCAGGTGCTGCCTCAAAGTAGCCATGTGCCCTTTTAACCAATCTGTGCCTCAGTTCTCTCATCTATGAAATGGGGATAACACAGTGCCATCATCCAGCCGAATGGCTTAGTGGTCGACCTATCAACCAGGTGGTCACGGTTCCATTCCTGGTCAAGGTACATGTCCGATTTGCAAGCTCGATCCCCAGTGTGAGGTGTGCAGGAGGCAGCCAATCAATGATTCTCTCTCATCATTGATGTTTCTATCTCTCTCTTTCTTTCCCTTCCTCTCTGAAATCAATAAAAATATATTTGAAAACAAAAACAAAAACAGTGCCTATCTCATAGGGCTGTGAAGATTAAACTGTGTAAAGCACAGTGCGGGGCCCTGTCCTCACTCTATAGCTGTTGGTGGTATTATAGCAGCGCCTAGAGCACTGCCGGCTGTAAACACTGACTGGCTGAATGAATGAGTTATACACACAGACATGACATGATCCCATTTATGTAAACACACCCACAAGATGAATTTCTAAGTGCATATTTATGGGCTTAATGCAGAGAAAAATTTCTGGAACCAGCATGTCAAATGTTAACAGTGTTAGTAACCCTTAAGGAGAATGAGATTCAGAAATGCTCACAAGGCATTTTGCTGCATCTGTACCATTTATGGTTGGTTTTTTTCTTTTTTTGTTTGTTTTTCTTTTGGAGGTGGGGGGGAGGGGGATTGCATGAGCCCCAGGTAAAATAAAATACGTTTCCAAACATAATCTGTTTCTCTAAGGGGCTCAGACTCCAAAGCATGTGGTTCTGCTAGTCCGAGTCAGCACTGTTTAATCAAAAAGGATGCCCTGGGTGAGAAGGCTGGCCCGGCTCCTCCTCTCCTTCTCACTGTCTGTTTGCACCACACAGATCCTGAGCGGCAGGCAGCCGCCCCTCGCATGGAGGTTGGACCTCATCCACACACACCCCAGCGGAGTTTCTGAGGAATGGATCCTGCCTTCCGACTGTGAGATCTTTTCCTCCAGGACTCTCCAGAGGCAGGTCCCTGGCAAATGAACTTTTAAAGTCCAAAGTGTAGGAAAACCAAGCAGCACAGCCAGATCCGCCAGCCATTGGTTTTTATTTTATTTTTTTAATCAAGTCTCACTGTTTCAGTTTAGCAAAAGCCATTGTGTCCATTCCTCTTCTCCAGAGATGAGCCTCAGGAAATACCATTGCTTTGTGGGAGGGTGGAGGGAATGAGCAATGGCTGTTATTTGCAATGTCAAGTACAAACATTTGCAGCATGTTTACCGTTGTCTCACAGAGCCGAGTGTGTGCATTTTTCCCTTTTATTTTTACATGTAGCTTCGCTTCAATCTTCAGTAGCTCCTCCCTCATCAGAGACACAAACACAGGAGCCTTTGGCCTTCGGTCTGGGCCCAGTTTTCCTAAAGGCCCCTTCCTTGCTCGCATCCACCGCTGTCAACTTGACCTGGACCTCACTCTCCACTCCAACAGATGAGAACGTACAATAATAGATACACGAGCACCTTCCCCATTCCAGTCTTGGGAATAAACTGGCTATGTTTATGGAATGTGCTTTTTTTCCAAACTCTCTGTTTTTGTTTGTTTGTTTGTTTGTTTTGTGAGTGGAGTGTTTGTTTTTTGCAAGTCTCAGGCAAGATCTTTGATTTTCCTGGATGCCACCTGGAAATGCCACCCATTGTATTTCTTTTCTGTCAAATGTAAGCCCTTTAGGTGTGATTGTACCCATTTGATGGCGCCATTGTTCCACCTGCCAGAACACGCTAGCCCCATGTTCCGCAGAGTGCGAGGCATACCACTGGCGGTCCACACTTTCTAAGTCGTTTATAGACGCAACAGTAAATGCCGCCGAATCACAGAGAGCATTTCCCCTTTCTATCCTTTTTCAGTCTCTGTTTCCGGCTCATGGGTCCTTACCACCTTTCTGAAACGTTGGCTCCTTTCCTGTCTCAGGAAAGAAAGAGCAGGTCTCAGGTTCAAAGTCTTCTGTCAAGACAGAACTTAATACTTGATGTTGTGGACACTGTGTTTATTAACTATCTTACATGTACGCCTTCCTCTTAGGGATTTGATATATCATTTCTGTTCAAATAAATTTACTTGAAAAATGAGTGGACTCAGCAAATATCTAGTGATTAACACAACAGGTGACATGTACCATATGGCAAAAATGAGTTCAAGAACTAATATTGGAGACACAGTGATAATAAACTTTCTTTCCTAAGAGAAAAGGCAGCTTACTCTGAGTGAACATGAGGCTGAGTCAGAACACATGGGTTCCATGTGTGTCCCTGGCTGACTATGCAAACTGATTTTAGGCAAGTCTCTCCGCCTCTCCGTGAAATTTCCTCTCCTGGAGAAACGGGAGAACACCTGCCTACGCTCCTCAGTGTTCTTATGAGAATGAATTGGCATAACAGGCGAATGCCCCGGAGAGAAATTCTAAGTGTAGTTCCTAGATTATTGTGACTCTCAGGCATCGTTGAAATCCCGGATCCCCGCAAAAGGTAGGCTTTGACGGGCATTGGGTCCCGCCTGTCACTGTCCCAGGAGGACGCTGAATCAGGGTCACGAAGCCTCAGCACACGGAGATCCGTGCGCCAGTCCAGGAGATTGGATCCTCACTTCCGTTTCTGACATCGTGGTTTTTGTTGGTTCGTGTTTGGCTCCCTGATCTTTTACCCAAATCAAATGCAAGGTGTTGCTGAGAGGCAGAATAAAAATTTTTTTAAGTAAGCCTGTTTACCACGGTGTGCAAATGGCGTTTTCTTGGGGTCCCAACCTTCTAGAGACTCCCGTAACCAGAATGGGCTCATGGATAGCAGCCTCAGTCTGTAGGGGAGACCACAGAGAGGCCAAGGGCGGGCCAAACAGGTATCAACTGAACTACTTATGGCCTGAAAGGCCCTTCTAGGAGGCATTGAAAAATGGGGATCCAATAAAGTCACTGAGAGAGCTCCCTGGGATGGGGGTGGAGGATGGGTCCTGATTTTTGCTGTGTCCCCTGCCCCCTCTCCCCCCCAGCCTGGCAGAGAGTTTTCATAGTGACAAAGCAGGGTGATGGTCTTCTCCGGGGCCTCCACTCCAAAAAGCACAGACAGAAAAAGGACTGACCAAGCACATCAGCCAGCGCACTCTTTCAGCAGCCAGAGACAGAAAAAGCTAAGCAAAGAGTAGAGTTCACTGCCTCATATAACTGAAAATGCCAGGGACAGCGTCAAGCATGGCTGGGTCTAGGTGCTCAGCCTTTATTAAGAACTTCACTCCATCTGTGTCTCTTCCCTAATAATTACAAAGAAATGGGGGGGAAAGTTCAGTTCAAAATAATGCACAATTGATTCGGAACTGGAACCAGCCATCAGAGTGGACAGCAGCCATCAACAAGCAGCTGCCATGGCCAGGGGTGCCTGGCTCCCTGACAGCCGGCCTGGAGCACAGTCCCGCCAGTGGAACTCAGGATGAGGTCAGCTCACCCCAAACCGTACGGACTGAGGGTGTGTTACTAGCAAGAGAGTCTGATGCTGAGCAGAGAAGAACAAAAACCACTGTGCACCAAGCTTGCGGCTTCTCCCTCTGCCTCCCACACGAAGGACAAAAGTAACCTCATCCCTTTTCAAACAGTTTCTCCACTCAGCTGTCACCTCATCCATCTCCTCACGCCATCATTATTTACAGAGCGCCCGTCCGACCGACCGCTGAAACGGGGCTTGGCTTCGGAGGTGAAATGATCGAGAGAGAAGCCTGAGGGCTCGCAGGGGAGCAGGGGAGCAGGGGAGCAGGCACCCACACAATCAGAAAGGAACGTGAGCGAAGACAGAGGCAGGAACGATGTCTTGCAGTCACTCTGCAGGAGGGAGGTCTGGCTGGTCCCCAGAGGTCTGGCGAATGTCCCCGTCCCACCACTCGGTGATCGCTAAGGCTGATACTGCTCTGGATGCGGCCCTGTCTTTGCCCACGAGTTATGGGCAGAAGCAGATGCAGACACAAAATCGCTGGCCTCAGCTCCTGTATCAGCAAATTATCTTTGGCTGACACCGGGACAGCTGCCTTCAGCAAAACAGTGTTAGGCTTGAATCTTGATACGTAACCCTAGACTCAGGCTTCTAAATATAAGAAACAGTTTTGGGTCACTGACTACCAAAAAAAAAAAAAATTATTATTATTTTAGGACAGTGTCCACACTCATTAGTTACTACCAATCCTTCAAAAATACTCCTGAATGTTGCATATTTGAGCCTGGAGAATTACCCTATAAAAATAGGTCTCTAAACCAAATACTCTGAATTGTAATTTTTGACAAATACAAAGAGAGGCATAAGGACCACCCAAGCATCACCCATCATCCCTGGAGAAGCCTCGGAGACGGACTGGTTTATGATTTGTTCCCACAGAGATTTACTTATCGCAGGTCAGAGAGGGACTAGGGAGTGGCCCTGTGCCTGCTTGGGGTCAGGCACCTCGGCCGGAAGAGTGGCCAGATCAAGTGTGCGGTGGTCCAGTCACAATGCTCATCCCCTTCCCCGTCCGAGCGTACACCTGCCCACTCCACACTCAGCCGCTGGTTCGCCGAGGTGCCCTGGAGGCTAGTTTTCCAAAGCTGTCCGCTCCTGGCACTGCGGATTGGCCAGGTGACATGGAATCCTGTGTATGGGGACGAGCTGTGCTTCCGAGAGAGTGTACACACAGGAACTGGAGAAAGGCCAAAGCCTGCCTCTGCGGAGGTGACACACGGCTGATGACCGGCAGGAAAGAGGACCTGACCCGCACACCGGCACCTTGTCGGCAAGGCAAACACAACATTTCCTGAGCCAGTGCCCAAGTTCATCCAGACAATCACAGAGCCCTCTCCTAGGTCTCCCTGCCCCTTCGTTTCTGACGGATGCTGCAATACTACAAACTTAGTGACTTGAAAACAGCCCACACTTATTATCTTACAGGCTGGGAGGTCAGAGGTCTGAAATGGGCCTCACTGGGCCAAAATCCAGATGCCGGCAGGGTTGAATTCCTTCCTGGAGGCTCTTAAAGGAGAATCCGTTTTCTTGCTTTCTCCATCTTCTGAGCAGCCATGGCTCCTGGACTCCTTCCACCTTCAGTCAGCAATGGCCTCTGTGCTCTCTCTCACATCAGATCCCTCTGGTTCTGACTCCTTTGTCTCCCGCTTTCCGATTTAAGGACCCTTGTGATTACATTCCTCCCCTCTCCCCAATCCAAAATAATCTCCTTATTTTAAAGGCAGCTGATTAACAACCTAATCCCATTTGCTACCTTAAACCCGCCCCTCACCCCTTACCTTGTAACCTAACATATTCATAGGCTCCAGGATTTAGTATGGGATGTCTTTGGAGGACCATTATTCTGCCTACACATCCTGCTTTCTTTTTTTTTTTTTTAATTTTATTGATTTTTTACAGAGAGGAAGGGAGAGAGATAGAGAGTTAGAAACACTGATGAGAGAGAATCATCAATCAGCTGCCTCTTGCATACCTTCTACTGGGGATGTGCCCGCAACCACGGTACATGCCCTTGACCAGAATCGAACCTGGGACCTTTCAGTCCGCAGGCCGACGCTCTATCCACTGAGCCAAACCGGTTTCGGTGTGCTTTCACATTCCTTCCTCAACAGCAGTCGAACACAGCCCTGCTGATCTAAAACCTCACCCACCCACCCATCCAATGAAAACCCTAACGTTTAACCGTGGCCCGCAGAGCCCTAGGTGAGGAGACCCCTGGCTGCCTCTCAGAACTCATCTCCTACCATCCCCCCTCCCTCACTCTGCTGCACCCACTGGCCTTCCTGCTGTCCCCAAACCCGCCAAGATCATTCCTGCCTCAGGGCCTTTGTACGTGCGAGTGCCTCTGCCCAGTGTCCTGGCTCTTCCTCTTCCCCCAGGTCTCAGCTTCTCACCTAAGGCAGCCACCCACCCCTAATCCCTCGCCATCCCATCACCCTGTCTTGTTTCCTCTGCGCCTAGAAAAGGACGAGAGCTCACATGCTTCTTGAATGAGGAAAAGGCTCTTCCCCCTTTAGCTAATGCCCACGCCTTTGCCTCTTCTTCTCTGACATGCCAGCTCTTCAGGGGGTAGGGTCTCCTTTCCGCAGGCTCACACAGCCCTGCTGCTTACTTCAAGGGCCCCCCACAATGGGAATGGGAAACAGGAATCAATTGCGTAATGATCACCTCCTATCTGTCCACCCCAGGACTCGATCAGCCCCTCTGAGAGCAGGAGCCACGTCCGCATCTTTCACCTCTGCAGGCCTGGTGCCTGGCACACCGGTTTCCAGTCATTGCTTGTTGACTGTAAGAACGTGTCAATATATAGTAACGAGTAAGGGAGAGGTGGCGAAAGAGAAGAGAACCAAATAGTGCTTCATCGCCTGGGCCTCATTTTTAGATCCTGGTTTGGCAGCTTTAAACCTGATTTCTGAAGTAAGATGCGACTAACCAAGGACTTGGTTCGAAGTCCTGATCCAAAACATTCTCACTTATTTTGTTACCGCTTTTAGCGTGATGGTTTAGGAAAAGGAAATCATGAAAATGCATGTAACACCCAAAAGTTATTTTAAGAAGATATGGATCCCAATAAAGCCCTGTTTGTGTGGGTGGCCATCTCCCGGGGCTTCCTTTGGGACTGGGCTGACCCCTAGTGGAAGCGAGAGAAAAGCACTTTAGGGCGGCCCTTTGAGGAAGAGCATATTTCTTTGCTTTTTATGATCCTTTGTTTGTGTAATGGGATCCAGAAACAAGCTGGTGGGAAATCGCACAACTTTGACAGAGAAAAGAAGGAACAGTCTCTGGACACAGCCCTGCTGATCTAAAACCCCACCCACCCATCCAATGAAAACCCTAACCTTTAACCGTGGCCCGCAGAGCCCTAGGTGAGGAGACCCCTGGCTGCCTCTCAGAACTCATTTCTTTAAAGGAAAACGGAAACGGAGAGAATGCTATAAGAGATTATAGTGTGCCCCGCACGTGTGCCATTTAATCTTTGCAAGAAGCAGCTGACTAAGCTACTATTTGTTGTCCACTTTTGAAAAGCGTGGAAACTGAGGCACGGGGAGGTTAAGACACTTGCCAAGGGCCATAACTAGGAAGTGGTAGGTGCAGGATTTGAACCTGGGTAGGCTGGCTCCAGGACCTCGACTCCCACCCAGGGCAGAACCTGCCAGTAGTCACTGGTTCAAAGCACTAACGTACAGTCGGTTGCTTTTGAAAGATTTTTGGCTGATTTCCAGGATAGCTCACTCTAAGACTCAGTTCTGGCCTTAAAATTCTCAAAAGCAAGGTAGGCACAATTAATGTCATCTCTGTTCTCTAGAAACAGCGAAGGTGGATAAGATAGTAAAATTCCCAGTGACTTCGGAAGACAAAGGCTGGCTCAGTGGGGCTTATTCTTAAATCTCTATATTCTGAACTTCTAAACTTAGCTATTTTGCCCCCCAAAAAAGTTGCTTAATCATTTTTTTTAAAGTAGGTAACTATAAAAATAATATTATGGCAAATACATGGTTTGTTATCTGCTAAGTATTATGCTAAGCCTTTAAAATGTACTTTCCCTCAGTTGTCATAACAACCTAGATCTAAACACTACTATCAATTCACCTTTTCCTCTGAGGAAACTGCAGCACAGAGAAGTTCAACTACTCATTCAAGGTCACCCAACTCGCAGTGTTAAGATTTGAGCCCAGGCAGTTTGATTCTAAAATCCACTTTCTTAATCACTACGTTTGACTAACTCCCATAAAT